AGCTGCCTCCTGCACACTCCCTACTGGGGATGTGCCCGCAACCAAGGTACATGCCCTTGACCGGAATTGAACTCGGGACCCTTGAGTCTGCAGGCTGACGCTCTATCTACTGAGCCAAACCGGTCAGGGCACCTTACATTTAATTTAAAACAAAATTGGGATCATAGTATGTATAGTTTGCATCCTTAACAATTAAATAAATTTTAGAAAAACAATGTACTCAAAACTCTAAATATTATTATTTTTAAAATATACATTATATTAAATTTTAAAAATAGGGGTAAAAATCACTTATTGCTGTTTTACCTTAACATTAGTATTTTGGTATAAATCTTTCTATGAATTTGTCCTTTATATAGAGACAAGAATGCTTGTGTGACAGAGAAAAAATGTGGGGCCTTTAATACTCTAGTGCAGGGGTCCTCACACTATGGCCCGCGGGCCACATGCAAATACAAATATTGTATTTGTTCCCGTTTTGTTTTTTTACTTCAAAATAAGATATGTGCAGTGTGCATAGGAATTTGTTCATAGTTTTTTTTTTTTTAAAACTATAGTCCGGCCCTCCAACGGTCTGAGGGACAGTGAACTAGCCCCGTTTAAAAAGTTTGAGGACCCCTGCTCTAGTGTATACTATCCTGCCCCGTTTCCATGGAGTCCCCATATAGAACCAGTGAGCAGGCCCTTTTACTTATGAGAGAAGACAACTCATAGACTGCTTCATAGATTTATAGAGAGCACACTGTGAATAAGCATGTATTTGAGAATGGGCATGTATTGTATATGGCTGGAAAATAGGATCCTTCCTTCAATTTTTAAACTCTTAACCAAAGTCCAAGTTAGTCCATCATTATCTTTGTGAATCAGGTTTGAAGTCATGGAGAATGAGAGTGCTGCCACAATAAAGCCAGAGCTGAGTGCTTCTACCTAAGCTCCCACTCCATTCCTCCTCCCCTTCAATATGAACCACACTCCAAATTTCACCCAATGTTCAAAATAAGCTAGTTTTCTTTTAAAACACAAATGAATCTTCCAGAAGTTCTGGTCAAGTAATAAAAGCGATTACTGACGGCTCTCACGATGGTCAAACAAATCCCCAAGTGAAAATGCGCTACTAAGAACACTGTATAGGATGTTCAAAGGGTTCTACTTACCACTCAGTGTTTCCGGAGCCCTAGTTCATTCTACCTAGGTTCTGAGGAGTAATAAAATGTGTGAAAATACCTTGAGCTTTTTAGGAGAGAGCACAGATGAGAGTCCTTAGGCCAAGAATGATGAAATAAGGGATATTCATATTTATATTTGCAAAACTCCCCTCAGCAAACAGTAACTACTGCACAAAGTATCTTGAAAGAGTGCTTCTATTCCTGAGAATTTAACATGATTTGAAAATTTAAGCATAAACTTATAAAACGTTTTCCATTTGGAATGAATTTCCAAAGTTACCATAGGATTAAATGAGGCACAATTTACTCTGGGGCTAGAGTGTCTGCAATCCCATACCAAAATATAGAGGAAGAAACAAGATAGTAAATTATATTACTAGAGGCTGGGTGCATGAAA